TATATTATTTTGGGGACTATAAATGCTTTTAGATTGAAAAGTCATTGTTGTTGCAATTGAATCGCTGCTTTAGTCCTGATTTGATCCTCTTGTATAGATGAGCATTGTTTGCATACTTCTTGTTGCTTTAAGTTTTATCAAAGTTGGGTATCGCTGTGTTCACTCGTAGGCGGTACCCTTGAGTTTGCCATAATTTCGTAAGTTTATTTGGGACGGTCTTTAATCCTTCAACAAATGCTAGGTAATTTTTGTTAGTATTGGGTTTTTGGAAATCATTTAAAGACCGCGGGATTTTTATGATTCTGATAGTGGATTTTTGTGTTTTCAAGCTTTGTCGTTCTAATTATTCTTTGAAAAAGTACTTGTGAATACTACCTCTCTATATGAATTAAACGAGCTTTGCTTGATGTGTAGTTTTCTGGGTTCAAGAATTTTTCTTGTTTGACTTGGGTGAGCCGCAATAATATTCATTTGTTAGTGGTTGTTTGGTCAAAGATATGCAAAAACTTTGAAAATATCAAACTCGTGAAAGTTCGTTTTTCCTTCCGTAAGGTTTTTTAGTGCAAGAATGTAACAACATTTTCTATATCCACGACTGATGATATTTCGTTTGTTTTAGCTCCTTCAGGACAAATGGCAAAGCTTGACCTGGTGCATAAGAAGCTCTTAAATGAGTGGAAGAAAGATGCAAAGAGGAATATACAATTAATTGGGGATATTTTGAAGGAGGCAAAGGTAAAAATTATTTTTGATTTTGTTAACTCGGTCACTCCTCTTTTATATCATTTGCTTACATAAATACTGCAGTTGGCCTAAATTTAGGAGGACAGAAGAAGAATCCTTATTTTGTATTTCGCTTCCTCTTAAATTATCTGTCTAATTTATATATTTTTTATTTTATTTGTTTAATCATTTATTTACCTGTTCATTTACTTATTTTTTATTTTAAATAACGTCTATTTTTAGGAAGGGATGAATGATATGGCTTGCTTGAATGAGCTGAATCAAGACGCACTATTTATAATTCATCGTAATTATTACTTTTAAACTATCTTCTTTTCAAGGGGGCAGAAAACATGTCAACAAAATTGATTTACAAAATGATTTATAGGTGATGTCTTTGAAATCGACGCGATGTACGCACTCTTGTGTGAAGATTTTGAACGGTTCAATGAAGCAATCACCGTAGTTTTGAATTTCTATAACAGCTACCAGTGAGTTTATATTAATTATTGTAACAGTGGTGTCTGTCACAAATTAATCTGGAAATTTTTTTTCTACTATTTCTGTCTTGAGGAATAAAGTTCAGTTTAATTTTCTGCTTTTAGTAATGCCGTCCCGTCCCCAAATAAGTATTTGATGATTGGCCTTGACTTGATGTATTTGCTAGCAACAAATCGACTTTCTGAGTTCCATATGGTAATCTTTTATTTATACTTTCTCCGCAGTGGTTTTTTCTTTGAGTGAACAGACTTTTTAAGTCATTAGTCTTCCTTCTCTTTGGCTATATTTCAACTTTTTTATTTTTTTTCATTTGACGTTACATTTTAGCTACTCGAGCAACTTGAACAGTCTGTGCAGAAAAGCAACCCATATATAACCACTCCTGTGAACTTGGAGCAGTCACTTATGGAAGGGGTGTACAGTAAGGTCTGAGGTTTTTATTTTTAGTACCCCGAAGAGTATTTTAGAGTTTGGTTGCGTCCAGATTATTCGTCATAATGCATCGCTCCCCGTTTTATTTCTTTATCATTTTCCGCAAAAAGTAGCTTCTCTCTCTTTCTCTATCTCGAATGTTGGATTTTAGGTGAGAGCTGTAACAGAAAGTAGACAAAATATGATCAGAAATAAGGCATCTTTGATTTCATATAAACTTTTTCATGATTCAAAGTTATTTGATGCTGCATTGCTGAAAAGACTGGTACTTGTGGGGGTTCAGTGAAGTAACAAGGTGGAGCAGAGGGGCTTGGGGAGGTAAATAGGTCTCTTAACAGAGCGGTCAAAAGGTTTAAATTTTTAACGAGTACGGAATGGGAATTTGCAAAGTAGTTTAGGGCTTTTCGAAAGCTTTGCTTCGTTATCATACTTCTCCTAAACTTTCATTTTCCTTAAACTATTTTACTGAGCTGTTTACGGGTACATAAAGTTCAGTTATTTGGCTTACTGTAAGTCTTCCAGGAAGGAGGAAAACATTATGAGTTTTCAGAAGTGTGAGAATTGAATATATGGAGGTAAATCCGTTAATGCCAAAATAACACAACAGTGAGTTTGCTATGGGATTTCGTTAGGCCAGCTTGTGATAGTTAAAAAAGATGCGGAATTTTCAACTAAGAGCTTCAAAAATTTATCAGCGTTTCCTGTTCCTGTATTTTTCACAAAGAATGTTAAGGAAGTATGATATTTTAAAAAGTTTTTTTCATTTGTTAGTCTTTTTCCGTAATTCTTTCCGTCAACGTCCTGCCAAGTTCATCTACAAAACCCTCTCCTTCCAGGTCTTGTAACATCCTCAGAAACAGGGGGGGGGGGGTTATTTGCAGCAGTGTCTTATCAAACTGTGGAAGCTACTTTCCTGAGACGGGTCGTTTTGTAAATTTTAGAGCATAAACGTTATTTTTAGGTTGTTCTGACAGAGGGAACAATTCCTAGTCCGTTTTATTCCATTTTTATCCGCATATTAAAGGACACGGTCAGGTAGGCTCAATTAAAATTACATTTTGTGGTAGTTTCGGAAGGCGATTTCAAACTTTTCTTTTGTTTTTATCTGGTATTCTCGTCAGATGCTTTTTTTAGAGGTGATATTGCTACATGTATTGAAGCTGCGTTTAAGAGGCTTTCTGTTAAGGATGCCGCACAAATGTTATTCTTCACAAAAGTTGATGACGTCATACCCTTTGCAAAGCAGGTAAGAAGTTAAAACTGAAGGTTTCCAGAAGAGAAACTTTGGTATAATGGTTGAATGATGAAAAAAATTACTTCAGTATTTCTTGGAAACTCCATTTTCTAAAATTCTTCAAACTTTTTTAGAGGAAATGGAGAACGGTTAACGGGGTTTATGTCTTCGATGACGAAAGGCCTGTCGAGGTATGTTTTCATAACTACCTTCTATGATTTTTTTTCATTTCTCCTCTGAGCCAGTACTTCTTATAAATAAATGATTTGTTTATTATATAGTTTGTTCGCGGCCAGCATTTGATTGACCACAGTGTTTTTTTTATCATTTGGAATATGCGAAGTCTTTAATGTACAACAGAAAATGCTGGTTCTAGGAGAAGCCGAAAGCTCGTCTGGACACTGAAAGGATAGCAAAGCAGAATATTTTTTATGCAAAGCAACTCGAAATGATCGTCTAGCGTATTTGACAAATTGATTGCGAGTTGTATGTTTATCTTGTTTTATTTTTTGCTATTTGCCTAGTTGAAGATCATTTCTTTTGAAATTTTGAAACTGAAATGCTGTATGCTTTAAACTATTTGATTTTCTAAAAATTAGTCTTAGGAAGAGTAAATCGGATGTTGCGTCCTGGGTGTTTTTGCGGGACTGACTGATAAGTTACTGGAGCATGTTATTGACTCTTATCATTTCTTTTTGAGTGGTCAGTAAAGCAGGTTAATGTAAATGAAATTTCTAGAGATGGCTTGCAACCGATTTATTTCTTCCTTCGCTTTTTTAATTTTATTATGAAACTTTGTTGTTGTTCAGGTTAATTACTGTGAAGCGACGTCTGCTTTTGAATAACGGCTGACAGTTTACTCCAGCTTGTGAAAAACAAGTTTTTTTATAGCTTTTTTTTGGCTGGGTGTGTGGAAAAATGGTACCAGTATAAATGATTCCTTTTGATGTTTTCCTTAAAAAAGTTTCTTGCATGCTTCGTCAGTACTTTAGCATCATTTCTGTGAGAGGAAGGTAACAGCGCATTTGGGCCACAGCTTTTTTTTGATAAGATTAACTAGTAGTAGAAATGTATCAATGAAAGTTTGGTTCAAAATGTCAAGAAAAACGGCATCAAATTCCTATAGCTAGATAAGGTGGTTGGAACCGTTGCGTGCTTGGAAGTCGTATTTTCAGAAGGAAAATTTTGAATGTGCATTTCATTATGGTTGACTGAATTGTAAACTTTTTGGTGAGGAATTATAGGTGGTGATGTAGCGTGTAAACAGTGAAGCATTAAAGAAACTGTTTATGGTTTTGATTAAAATCTATTCTGAGTTTAAGTTAGCATTGTTATAAGGCCAGTTCAGACGAAAGAACGTTTTTTACATGAGAAGGAACAGAAGGTTCAAATTTAGCAAGACTGACAGCATAGAAACTTTGGTTATACATTTGTTTTATTCATCGTTTTCTCCACAGTCTTTTAATGAGCAGATTTTAATATCGTTTTTCGATAAATAGCTGGTTGTTTCTTTCCAAAGTTTCAACGTAATCCACTTCTCTTTTTCCGTCATAGTAAAAGCATTATCGGAAAACCACCCCAATATTTGCTTGCGGGTCTTTACCCATACCAGTGGCGCCAGTCCGTCTGTGGCAATTGTTATATTGTAAAATGTTGAGTTTAATCGCTGAACGCTTGTCACCGTCACGTTACCAAAAGCTGATTCGTCGCTCTAAATAGACCGTATTAAATGAACCTTTGAAAGCGTTTAATTAGTGTAAGACACACTTTTGTGAAGGTTTGGAATGGCTTTTTAAACGTTTAAAGCTTTAGGTCACGGTATGACCTTGTTGTTAAGGTGAAATTACCTTAAATAAGCGGTCAGGCAGCAAGATGCTGTCGTAGCCAATTTGTTCACCTGCTGGAGATGAGAGTCGTGCTCGGATAACAAAGTCTGCTTCACTAGTTTTCATTTTCTTTCTGTAATAGGTGTGATTATCTGTAAAAGTTGTGCTGTTTTAAATAAATTCTGCTTTCATGCGGTGTTACTACGAAGTCGTGCCTAAAACTTCCCCAGAGGAGATTAAATACTTGATCCCACTACTGGTCAACTTTGCAGTGAATTTAGATATATTTTAAAAGACTTTGGGATGCATTTTTGTTTAGATATGTTCGAAAGTTGCCATAAAGGGTTTAAAGCAACAAACTTCATTTCCTGATGGTCAGGGAACTGAACTTTTGTGGCAGAAAGTGGTGGTATATCAACGGTAGTTTTCTCACTATACACTGGTTGGAATCCTCCTGTCCAAGCAAACATGTCAACAGTAACAGTATGGTAGGGAAGTTTTTGCGTGGAGTCAGAAACGATAAAAACTTCCAAGTTTTCGTCGTTGTTAAGGAACTAGGAAATGACGTTTATAAACGAGCGAAATGCAACGGTAACAGATGGATTTGAGAGAGCGAGGGGATCAAAAAGCAATAATGTAAACTTGGTGTTAAAAAAACCTTAAAAGTTGGTAATGATTTAAATTAGCTAATATTATTTAAAAAGCTGCTAAATTTAAAGTCTATTAGAGTGGCTGTTACCGCGTAATTTTTAAGAGGTGTTGTACTTTTTAAAGATGTATAACAGGTGTACCGTAGAAACAAGGATTGGTGCAAAGAATCTTCTGGCGTAGTAATGTGCGGGCTTCCAGTTCAAGTCAAAGTCCACAGAAGACCACGAAGGAGCGCTCCAAATATCATTAAGTTGCCAGTAAAGTGCGCACATTGTATTACCGCGACCATCCTCATTTAGGCGACCTCGCCATCTAATATTGGTACCCGTGCAATACATTTTTTCGTGACCTCGGTACTTCTGAATCTTGGAGAACCAACGACCGTACAAAAAAAAATCACCAGAGAAACTAACCTTCTATAATGTTCTGTCTGGACTTGTAAAGCAATACCCTGATTCATCTGAGTGTAGTAAGTAAACCGGGAGAGAAATGAGGGGTGATTGGCTCTGGCACACTCAAAAGGTGAACCTTTCGTATTGCATGATGCTGGAATCTGAAAACGTGCAGGTTTGTCTTTCAGGGTAATAGGTATTTGGACAATTAAGAATCTGGTACTTGAGTCTTGTAACTATTGTTATAACTGTAGACAACTGAAGCGAACTGATTTGGGGGCACTCATTTAGCACAGTGGACTGCACCTTCACCCATCCCGTGGTTCGTTTCTTGACAGCGCAGTCGGGCGATATTTCCTTCACTTTAGACTGCACTTGAAGCAAAGCGATGTAAAACCACTCCAGCTTTGAGAAAATAAAATAAAAAAATGAAAACCAACTTCAGCTTTGAAGTCCTTTAAGGCGCCCACGCTTTTTTAATCAACTTTTAACTTATTCAAGAAGTTTTTATTACAGATTCCACTCCACCTTTTTTTGCAGAGTAACCTGTTAATCAAACTTCTGGTGTAGAGGGTCAACGGGCAACAGCTATTTTCCTTTATTGATTTCATTTGAAATTTTGTTAAAAGTGAGATTTTTTTACAGTTTTCCAGCTCAGTTCTGCAATCCATAGTTTATCGCACTTTATTATACCTATTTAACCACATTAAATTTCCTCTAATTTTACTAGAAAAACGGCACCATTCAAAAGCAAGATACGCACTTGTAGAATAATGTTCCTTCTACTTCTAGGGCACCTAATTTCGCAAAAATTTTCATCATGTTTTTTGCAGTACTTTCAATCTGCGCATTCTTAGTTAAGCAAGGGAAAAGCGTTAGAAAGAGGAGTCCACTTAATGAAGTTTCATTTCGACTATTTGTTAATTTGGGCGGAAAAATGGAGGTTTAGGAATTTAAGAGATGCAGTAGATTCCTGGCTCTCAGTAGACAATATTTTAAGGAAGAGTGAACAAAGATAAAGCTTTGTTACTTGGTTAATATATTCAAAGATCCTTTTCCTTGAACAAAATGCTAATACCCTTATATCTCGCAAAAAAACCTTTTTCACTTAAATTTTTGAATTGGGAGATTTCTGTACAAATTTGCATGTTTCCGCGCTTTTAAAGCTTGGATTTCTGAAGAAAGTAATAATTTTTTGACTTTTTGTATTAATTTTATTCCCTGTGCCTTGTCATGTCTGTAAATCTTAACAAAATTTACTTTCTGCGCAAGAAATGACTGTTTTCTAAAGCAAAATCTAACGTTTCAGGTAAGTATTTTCTCCTCTTTGTAGGCCCTCAAATTAGCGAGTCAGTCTAATTTCTCATCTGATTTGAAACGTCTAATTTTTCACTTTTTTTGATTTTCCTGTTCTAAACCTGAAATTGAAGTAACAGCTCTAAGTGATAGCACATAACTTTTACCAGGAAGAAGTTGCACTTTAATTCAAAATTTTAACTCTCTTTTGTTGTTAAATAAATGTTTCAAAAATTACGTCATGTTTTTAAACTTCTCTTGAAGTTTACCAATGAGGACTAAAATGGCCAACACTGATGCCTTTGTATCTAATTAGCTCGAGTGCACTAATTGTATGAGGAAGCATCGTTACTGCCATAAAGATTTACTCCCAAAATCTTACTAAAATTAAGAATTGGAAAAGCTGGATGAAGGGAGAGCAAAAATTGTACTTTCGCTTAAACTGAATTAAACTTTGCTTGAAAA